ATTCATTTTACTGACGGCAGCACCTGAGTCACGCAGCAGTCTGCAACTTCTCCACCTGTGGGTTAAAGCTGGGCAGGGAGAGGTTAAAGCCTTGGTGCTCTGAGCCAACACCCACTGCCTATCTGAGTGTGGATTACACAAATGGGAGGTGAGGAGGAGGAAATAAACATTATAATGAAAGAAGAGCCAGGAGAGAAAACGCAAACGAGCTCACGGTGACTGACAGCTTCACGGCAGAACCAACTGGTCAATATTTAACTAAAGCTTGGTGTGTTGCAGTGAAGAAAAGAGAAGAAGGAGGCACGACTATTAGTGTGACATCAGTAGTTGTGAGTTTGACCTGGGCAGGGCGGGGTGGCACTCCAGAGGAATCACCCTGTTATTGTGGCTGTTGTGGCTGGAATGATTCAATAAACGCTGGATTTAATCTGTAAAGGTCTGATACATAATTCAATTTAAATGGTTCCAGCAAGCAGACAGAAACCATCTGAACTCTGTTTATGTTAATGGTCAGAGTAATTACTAGCTCTGTCCTGCAGTTATTCCCCAGCTGAGGAAACCTCGTATAAGCTTGAGGTTGGCTTGAAGATAATATTTGGAGGGGTGACGTGGGTGGTAAGAGGGATGCAAAAGGGTGGGATGCTGCAAAGCCAGACCGAACTGACCAAAGCAACCCAACCCAGACATTAACCCCAGAACTGGGCGACCCAAAACATGTGTGGATGTCATAACACCGTCACCCCCACCTCCAGAAGATAAAACAGTTTAAGGAAATGGAGAATAAACAATTAAATCTCATTTAAAGAAAAGAAAACCTGAAGCATCATCCAGAAAGAGAAATGATTAAAAACTTTTGCACAACCCCGTCTGTCAGGCAGTTGAAGTTTCGACACAGAAAAGCAGAGTTTGAACCCAAAGTGGCACATTCCACACAAGCACATTCTCACTGAGGCCTAGTCCACACGTAGCCGGGTTTTTTTTAACGAATATCCGCCCCACCAAAAACTTGCATCCACACCACCTCGTTTAAAAAAAAACTGTCCACACGTACCCAGATAAATACGTTGTTAAGGACATGCCAGACCTGTAGGTGGCAGTACTTCCCCCGTTCTTAACCTCGTCCTTCGTCTGTGGTCTTCCGCACGGAGCAGTAATTCCACTTGCAAAAACAAACAAGCAGAAAGCGCTTGGACAATTTATAAAGCGAGTGCAACTCTGAGGGCATCCATGCTGTCGGCTAGTGTAAACACAGGTCGCACACGTGATGTCAGCATTTTTTTGTCGCGGAAAGTGACGTTGCGGACCTTAATACTCCAGTTTTGTCTGTCCACACGCAGACACCCAAAACGGAAAAAACACAGATCTTCACTTTGGCCGGAGTTTTTAAAAAGATTCGTTTTCGTGTGAAAAAAACTCCGCTTTCGTGTGGATGACAGGCCAAAACGTAGAAAAATATCTACGTTTTGGCAGATCCCCGGCTACGTGTGGACAGGGCCTGAGACTGGCTTAGGAAATCACCCCGCTGCTGTTGAGCTGTTGATAAGTCCTGAAATGATTCACGTAACAACATTCCTAATTTTGCTTCTAAACAGACCAACATTATTGTGTAGTTTTAAATTGATTTTGACCATCTGAGGGCAATTTTGTTACGAAGAAACAGGAATATAATCCACCAAAGACCCGATACAGGACCTGAAGATGCATCATCCTTTAGTTCAATAATGTATGACAGCTTTCCATCCGATGACTATTTGGCAATCACTTTGGTGCTAAAATAAATATTTTTTGGGCTAAACTTTGTTTTCTTTGGCCTTTAGTTTCAACCAGTGCTTAAAATATCCTGGACTGGGTTGGGGATGGGCCATACAGGTGTGGGAAGTGCCTCTGTGGACAGATGATGTTTACCTGCAGACGGTAATTTTTTTCCCGGGTAAATTTAAGATTACGACTGATAAATGGCCTGAAAAAGTACAGGTATGCTGAGAGGTCACATTTTAAAGTGCTGTGGGTACCACACGTGCTCTGGGTGCCAGATCAGCTTGTTTGATGTCACACTAAATAATTGGCTGGACATTGGCACCTTCATTTAGAACACATATGTCAGAGTCAAGGCCCGCGGGCCAGATGCGGCCCGCGGAGCATTTTTATGTGGCCCGCGAGATAAATATCAAAAATATATTAAAACTGGCCCACTGGCCGATTTTACCGCAAAGACTACAACTCCCATGATGCTTTGCGGCGCCAGCGCGGAGCAGACGCGCCCCCTCCTTTGTGTTTTTTCAGTGCCGAGGCAGTCAGGGGTAGTTGGGTGTCTGCAGCTCCGCTGTCTCGGACAAACTACACTCCTCTCACTCAGCGCCGAGTTCACTCAGCTGTTTTCTGACGTTGAAGCCCAGAAACGGAGATTCTAGCCGCTCAGTAATGTGTTCACGACTGAAAGAGAAAGTTTTCAAACTAACTTCCAGACAGAGATGATATAACTCCAGCGAGCAGCGACACGCTCAAACCAGCACGGCTCTGTGGCTGCTGTCGTGTTTCCTCCACGACACACAACAACGTGGTCAAGCTGCTCAGACATGTTCATCAGCACAAACCTATGTGAGCACCTGTTGTCATCTAATGTTGTCATTATTATGATGAAGATGAACAAAACAACAGGAGTCTCCTCCTCAGCTCAGATCCATGATGCAGGTATCTGGCTGGAACAGGTGAGCATCACAGTAAACCAGCGGAGCAAACTGAGCTTTAAATATGTTGGTTTTATACTCTTTTTCTGCTCCAAAACATGAAAGTTAACAGGTGAGATGTTGCATTTTCATTTAAGATCAAATGATTTTTTATTTTGTTGTTGGCCCGTGAGAAAAGATTTAACCTACAGTAAACAGGAAGTGGAAAGGCTGCAGATAGATGAATAGAATAGAAAATCCCTTTATTGTTCCTCAGTGGGGAAAGCTAGATGTCACAGCAGCGATGACACGTATTACAGGAGAAAAAAGGAGAATAAAAAATAAGAAAAATGAATAAACAAGAAAACATAAATCCTGAATAGATTTTAAAAATGCTGATTATACCACAAGTAATGAATACCACTGATGCCTTTATTTAAAACTGACTTGCTCGTGTGTAATTTGGTTATTCCACATTCAGTGTTAATGCAGAAATAAGTTTGTTTCCAAATTTAAAGGTTCAAAATTGCATACATGTTGATAAAGAAAACGTGCAAATTTACCGTCACTTTTTCAAAAAATATTAAGTTTGGCCCTCGACTCCGTCCCAGATTTTCATTTCGGCCCCTTGTGAGTTTGAGTTTGACACCCCTGATTTAGAAGATTTTGGTTGGTCTGTGAGCACCAGTGGCGGCTGGTGAAATAATTTTTGGGTGGTGCGGATTTTTGTAAGTCAGTTTTCAGATGCACTAACCACATATCACCACTAGGGCGTGCCAAAGTCTCATTCTTATTCATCATACTATTTTAAAAGATTAAATTAAAGCTAAATTACAATGTGTTTTCAGTTAGTTTAAATGTGTGATCCCTGTCTGAACCCAGGCTTTATCTGTGCCAGGCAGCTCAAAGAGGAGGCAGCAGAAACTTAGGCCGGGGACACACCGGCCGCGGAAGCGCCTAGAAAATGGGGCCGCCTTCATTCGGCGCCCTTGTTAAGCTATTCTACAGACCACATGGGCCGCCGAAGCACCGCGAATCGCCTCGCGCCGGCGCTCCAGCCCGCGCCGTGCAGCGATCATTTCGGCGTCTGCTCTATTTTTTCGCGAGCCGCGGGTGAATCGCGTCAATTCTGGCAGGAAGTCAAACCTAGACATAAGAGGCAGGCTGGTAAATTTAACAAAATAAAGCATTTCAAAATAAAATTCCGCAATAGTCAAATGTGTTCATAATCAGACACTGCAGAAAAACCACAAGAACACACACACATCGAACTTGCGAGCGTGTGTGACCACGTGAAGGGGTGTGTGGTTTTGGGTGTCTTTTTTCCGAAGCAAACAGGACAGAGAGGCAGAAAGTCTGAGGCAAGCAGTTAAGATGGATGACTTTAAATTAATTATGGAAGTTGAGAAACACAAGGAGCTGTACGACCCCCGAAAAACATGATTATTTACGTACCCATTTCGGAAGAAACTGCTAGGATACAGCTGCAGAATTGTTGCGGGTTCCATAAGATTCAACGGGCAGAATCAACTAGTTCATAGGTTCTCTCACACACACACACACACACACACACACACACACACACACACACACACACACACACACACACACACACACACACAAACGTAGAGGAAAAGAGCTGAGAAAAGGCAGAGAGGAAATGGAGGACACCAAGTGTTTAAAAGAAAAACTACAGCAAGGCCGCGGCATGCCTCGACTGGGGCGCGTCTGATCTGAACTGAGGAGCGGCGAGCAGCGGCCGAATTTCGTGAGCGATTCGCTTCTCGGCGCTTCGCAGCTTCCGCGGCCAGTGTGTCCCCGGCTTATCTGGCCCTGACCAATAGCTCATCTGCCCGGTGAGAATGATTCCTGTTTCTCCTAACTGAGGTTGTTCAGTCCATCTTTTTAAAACGGAAACTCACATCAAAAAGATCTAAACTAGCCCTTTAAATACCTTGAGTTGAGTCTGGGCTTAACCATTAATGAGGGATCCAGTTGCAGACAAAATATTTCAGACATCGGTGAATATTCGGGTTCCACACACGCGTATCATATTCCCATAAACAAACATCCAACTTCCCGAGGTTCTGTTTGGTCACGTGCAGTCTCTGCTGCAGAGATCTGCAGAGATAAAGACACAAGACTCTCTCCAAAAGCTACAGAGATTTTCCAAACTAAACATTTCTTTAACTTTGCTAAAAGGCCGTTTCCACTGTGAGTCGTGATGAGGCAGAGTGAACTTACAAAGATGACCAGTGGCCTCCTGATAACTCCATGCACAGATAAAAGCGCAGCAAATGCTGACGTAGATTAATATGGAGTTCAAAAACTCACCAACAAGAACGCACAGCACATCCATCAGCACGTATAACTTCTTCTTCATCAGGTCGTTCATCTTTCCCGTTTATTACTCGCTGAACATGAGAAAGAATCTTATTTTTTTTAGGAGCGTAACCATCAAGTCCATCGGTGTTGGTTCACATTGACATGAAAGAGAAAGTTGTGCTAAATAACCTGCAGAACGGGTTCTTCCGGGATCCTCTTCTCTCTACCTGAGCTGACATCGAAAGCTTGACGTTCCTGAAACTACAGCGATCAAAAGATTTCGAGCAGAAACGCAGCGCTCCTTCCTCTGAGGTCCTGCGCCCCTCAGTGCGCAGTTTACAGCTCTGAAGCAGATTCTCCAGTTTCTCCGCTCAGGAGGATCCAGCTCGTCTCCAGTCTCACACACCCTCCACCCCTGGTCCCTCCTCCTGACTTTCTCCTCCTCCGTGCTCCCCTTTGGATCTGGAATCACCACTGGTGTTGACGCACAGGCGCGTAAAAGAGCGCAAACGAGTCTGTTCTCTGCCTGATTTTTTCCTTAATTATTCGAAGAAGAAATAAACAAATCTACACGGTGATATTAAAATAATGACACTAAACAAAAACCACAAATACATTTGAAGGAACCAAAATTAAAGTAAATGTTATAGCTGTTGTCAATGGCTCAATAGGGTTTCCATGGTAATCTCACATCCTTCTCAGTCCTTGACAGCAGATCTAACAAGAGTCTGAAAGGAAATGAAAAGAAAGCCTCTAGAAATGTTGCAGCACAAAAACTAGAAGTTTGTTTGAAAAACGTCTAGGATTGTGTGCATCCGAGCTTTCAAAGGTTTTCGTCGATGTGACAAAAAGATCAATCACTTTCAGTCTTGGGGAGAATAGTTGAGCTCTGCGCATTAAGGAAGTTTCAGAGAAAAGTCCTTCATCAGCAAGAAGGATGGGTGAAGGACAAAATCCTGTCCTACATTTTGATTCATGCTTTGACTAAACTTGTGGCAAATCTGCAAAGAAGATGGGTTTTAAATGCAAACATGGTGATGGAACACTCACCCGTCCCTCTTCACTGGTTCTGCATCCACTGGAACCAGAAACCCGCATTGACAGAGGAAACGAGCTAGCGCTAAACTCCAGTCACTGTTTTCTAGGTCCAAACGTCTTTTGTTGTCCGTCACTTCAAATGATGCTTTTCTTTTCCTGGAAGATTGTCCTAAATTTGAAGAGCAGAAGTGTGGTGGTTCGGCGAGACCAACGATCAGTTGGTCCATTAGTTAGTTTTGCCCAAACCGTGTTTATGGTGGGGTTTTTAAGACATATGCGAGATTGTTTTTAAAAATCTCCACAGTATATTTATAGCTACACTGTATTAGAACGTTGTTAAGAAGCATGACAAAAATGTTTTAGGCTAATTAGTTTTTCACCTTTACTATTGTAGATTTAAGCAACTCGTGGGAAAAAAAATCTCCAAATTATCATGATATTTTTTTTAAGAAACTGTAAAATATGTCAAAACATCAATTCAGTCATTCAAGTCCAACTTTTTGTGAATTGTTTAAACGGAACGGTGTTTCCAAATGAGTTTTTGCGGCTGAATATCCTTTTCTTTTACTAATTTTGTCTACTCTGTGTGACATACCACAGGCAGATATCAGCACGCCATTTCTATACCTTACAGAACTCATCAAACACATTCATCGGGTACTTTTGTTGGAGACAAAATCTATCCCAACAAAAGTGCCTTCCTGTCAGAGTGGCGTGATGTTCACATGACTTTACAGCAGCATGATTCCAGGCCTCAGTGCTTTCTCCCCCACACAGAAATAGACAGACAGGCAGAGAGACAGAGAGAGAGACAGACAGGATGTTTCCATGGCAGCAGCCACCACAGGGCCACCCATTTGACTCCACATATCCAGCCCTCAGTGTGCATTAACACTTAATTCATGCTTGCGTAACAAACATGTACATATAATTAGTTCAGCGCCCTGCAGTTAAGGTGATCTCTCTCTCACACACACGCACCCCCACCCCCCACCCCACCACACACACACACACACACACACACTGAACTGCAGAATTAAATTCATTAGAGTACATTGGCCCAGCTGTAAAGGATTGAAAATTTACAGCAGACAAATTAAATGTTACACCATGAAGGGGTAAAAGGCATCAAAGAATGGTTTTATCATAGAACTATACATTATTTTAAACTTGGACTTTTCTGCCCCCTTCTGGTAAAAAAGTGCATTCTATTAGCCTGAATGTCTGTTCATGTTTTCTAGTCCTTTTTTTGAGTGAGTGCTGCAGCAATTAAATAGGTGAGTTTTATGGGCCAATTTAGGGTTTTGTGTGTTTTTTCTAGTATAAGATTATCTGTTTTTAGATTTCCTGGGAGTCCCTTTTTATTTGTATTTGCTGTGTTTTTGTGGTGGTTTGACCAATCAATGAAGACCCAAACAGGGCTCAAGGCCCTTCTAGTCATTGGTTGATGGACTTATTTATTAAGGTGCACATAATATCATTAAATAAAGACATAACACTTAAAAGTTGAGCTTTTCTGCATGAATTTAACCAAAACTGAACCTTAAATATAAATTAAAATGAGATTTTAAAGTGCTCTTTTGTACTAAATTACAACAGAAGAGATCTTTTATATAGCATCACTAGATAAAAATCACAAGGTGCTTCACGAGAAACAATATAAAAAAGAACATTAAGAAAATGGGAGCAAAAATAAATAAATATCAAATAATATATATCATAATGAAAAAGAGTAAACACATGTGCCAAAAAAAAATACAGAATTGCCAGAAACAACAGCATGAACAGAAGCTATGAGGAAAACGAGGATGAACAGAAGGTCACCAAAGCCAGCCTGAACAGGTGAGTTTTCAGCTGCCCTGATCTCAGGGGGAGAGAATTCCAGAGTCTTAGGGGCCACAGCAGCAAATGATCTGTCACCTTTGGTCTTTAGCCTGGTGCTGCACAACCAGTAGGCTTTGATCACTGGACCTCAGGGACCTGCTGGGGGTGTAGGGACTGCAGATCCCCAATGTATGATGGTGCTTGTTCATGTAAGGCCCTATAGACCAGAACCAGGATCTTGAAATCATGCAACCAACGAATGTGTTGTTGAAATGAACCCTGAAGTTGACTGGCAGCCAGTGAAGCTGCAGGAGAAGCGGGGTGATGTGGGTGTGTTTGGAGGACTTGGTCAGAAGCCGAGCACAGGCATTCTGAACCACCTGTAGACGGTTCAGGGAGGTTCTGCTCAGACACGTGAAAAGAGAGTTACAGTAGTCTAAACGTGAGGAGATGAAGGAGTGGATAACTGTCTCAAGTTCAGAGCAGGACAGAATGGGACTCAGCTAAGTAATGTTCCTGAGATGTAAGAAGAAAGAGCAAACAAGAGAACTGGCATGAGAATCCAGGGTGAGAGCTGGGTCAAAGGTCACACCAAGATTCCCGACAGAGGGTTTGGTGTGAGAAGAAAGCTGACAAAGAGTGGCTCTGACATTGGAAACCAGCTAGTCTGGGGCACAGATGAGGATCTCAGTCTTATCTCCATTAAGCTGTTGAAAGTTCCCAGCCATCCTGGTTTCAACAGCGTCTAAGATGTGTAACAGCTGCAGCTCAGACATCTCATGGGGCTAAAAGGAGATGTACAGTTCAATCAATCAATCAATCAAAGCTTTATTTATAAAGCGCCTTCCGCAACCCTGTCAGGAAGCCCAAGGCGCTGAATATGGTACAGTAGAAGTACAAATATAGTGAATAAATCAAAAATAAAAGCAATTCAAATTACAAAATACATATTACAAAAAAAGGTAAAACATTCTAGTACAGGACAGATGGGTAAAACAAGGGATAGAGTGAACCAATGAAAACTGTGAAAGAAATTCAACGTAAAAGAGGGCCGAATCAAACATGTTCAGGAAACGCCAAGCGGAGGAGGTGTGTTTTTAGGTGATTCTTAAAGACTGGCAGAGATGGGGACAGCCTAACTGAGGGTGGCAACTGGTTCCAGAGTGACGGTGCTAGGACTGAGAAAGCCCGGTCCCCGCGAGTACGACACCTAGAACGAGGGACAGCGAGCAGGCCTTGGTCAGAGGAGCGCAGAGCGCGTGATGGGGAATGTTTGTTCAGGAGAGTGGCCAGATAGGGGGGAGCACCACCCAGGAAGAAATTAAAAACAAAGACGAGGATTTTGAATTGTGCACGATAGCAAACTGGAAGCCAGTGCAGGGAGGCCAGAACCGGACTGATGTGGTCCCGTTTCCTGGTCCCAGTCAGGAACCTTGCTGCGCTGTTCTGCACAACCTGTAGGCGACGCAGTGATGACTGACACAACCCTGAATAAAGAGAGTTGCAGTAGTCAAGCCTAGAAATAACAAAGGCATGCAGTACCCTCGCCTCTGTCAGACCTCCCCAGGGCGGCTGTGGCTACAAGTAGCTTACCATCACTAGCAGTGTGTGAATGTGAGAGTGTGTGAAAGCATCTTTGGGTGTCTAGAAAAGCGCTATATAAGTTCAATGCATTATTATTATTATTACCCGCTCCAGGTGGGCTCTCGACAGCATAGGCTTGATATTTGCAAGGCGTCTCAGGTGAAAGAAACTGGACCGGATCACTGAGTTGATGTGAGCCTCAAATTTAAGTCCTGCATCAATTTTCACCCCCAAACTGGTAACAACTGGTTTTGAGTAGGGAGAAAGAGGATCAAAATCAACATAACGACCCACATTCCTGCTGTTGGGGTGAAAAACAATAAGCTCTGTCTTTCTCTCATTCAGATGCAGAACGTTGGCCGTTAGCCAAGACTTCACCTCGTTAACACAGGACACAAAGGACTGGATAGAGTGACCTTTCTCCTGACACAATGGAGAGTAAATCTGGCAATCATCAGCATAGAGATGGAATGATAGGCCATGTTTACGAAAGATTGACCCCAGAGGTAGCAGATGAATGGCAAACAAAAGAGGACCAAGGATCGATCCCTGCGGGACCCCCAGCGGAGCCCCTCCCAAGAAGAAAAAACATCATCCAGTTCAACGCAGAATGTCCTGTTGTGGAGATACGATCTAAACCAATCCAGAGCTGACCCTTTGATCCCAACCCATCGTTGCAAGCGATCGAGTAGAATCGTGTGGTGGATTGTGTCAAAGGCTGCCGTCAGATCTAACAGAAGCACCACAGATGTTCCCTGATCTAGTGATAGATAGATGTCATTTAAGACCCTCAGTAGAGCCGACTCCGTGCTATGGCCACACCTGAACCCTGATTGGAAAACCTCAAACAGATCAGTCAGCTAAATGTGAGACCAGCTGCTGATAAACAACTTTCTCAAGCAGTTTAGATGTAAAAAGCAGGGTAGAGATAGGCCTGTAATTTGCGATCACAGAGACATCAGCACCAGGTTTCTTCAGGGTCAGCCGAATAACTGCTGCTTTCAAAGCTGCTGGGACCACACCTGTGCTGAGGCTCCCATTGATAATCTGACCAAGTGAAGGGCCAAGACACGAAAAGGCAGCCTTCCAGAGACGAGGTGGCAGAACGTCAAGTGGAGAGCCAGATGGCTTCTGCCTTGCAACAAGCTTACTCAGCTCACAATATGAAATATTATTGAGGGAGCTCAGGGTGGGTGGTGATGGAGGAACTGGAACAGGGTCAACAGAGTTACCAGAAATAGCTGCTCTAATGCCCGACACTTTATCAACAAAGAATCTGTGAAAAGCTTCAGAGTTTCCAGCAGCAGTAGGAGACATGAAGCTAGGCTCCTGATACACCAGAACAGAGTTTAGTGTTTTGTAGAGAATCTTGGGATTCTTGGAGTTTGTTTCGATGATGTCTGCAAAATAGGCCATTCTGGCAGCCCTCACAGCATCCTGATAAGCAACCAGAGATGCTCTGAACAACTCACGCGAGACCTGTAGGCCATCCTTTTTCCACTTTCTCTCAGAGGATCTACACGCCCGCCTGCAAGCCCGTGTGACATCAGAGAGCCAAGGCTCCTTCCTAGGCCGAGACTTGCACAGTTTGAGAGGGGCAACCACGTCCAGGACCTGATTACAAAGTAAATCAAAGTGTTGTGAATAGTGTTCAGTGTTAGATGGATCTGGGTTAAAGGTCTCAGTTGGATGTCATCTGCATAAAGATGGTAGGAGATTCCTTTAAAAGAGCTCAGGATGTGCTGGAGAGAAAGCAAAATATGGAGGAAGAGTAGAGAGGCCCCAGCACAGAACCTTGTGGCCAGGGAAGTGGAATAGGACCAAAAGTTGGAGATGGCCACAGAGAAGGAATACTCAAACAGATACAGGAGAACCACTCCAGAACAGTCCCCTGCATCACTGTGAGTCAGAAGGTCATTAGAGACCCTAAAGAGCTGTTTCAGTTGAATGAGCTCAACAAAAACCTGACTGATAGATGTTATGTTCATCGAGAGCAGCTGTGAGTTGTTTAGCCACAACCTTGTCCAAGATCCTGTTGGGAATTGTTTTCATTCCATGTCCAAGAATTTGAAGATGTGAAGGTAAAAAAGGAATAAAAAGTGGTCTTCATGGGTTGTTAATACTTCTAACATGATACTAATGTGCCCAGAGCTCTTAGCATTTTTGTTCTGACCGGACAAGGAGTTGCATAGATTAGCACTTTTTAAAATGTGATATTTTCTAATTTATTCAAATGTCTGTATGTTCACCTTTGAGTGCATTCATTATCTTCATTTAATTAGAGTGAATTAAATTCAGAGATGCGTTTTTTCGGGAAGCAAGGCAACGAAGGAAGCATCAGAACTCATTTCCTTAACATTTTAGAGAAACTGTTTATTTTGTCATGCTTGCCAAAACAAACTTTCAGGTTATATTGTTTAAATAAAGAAATAAGCCCCATTTGTCCCAAATCCCAGTTAGGGATTTTTTGACTTCACTGTTAGATAATCTTCTTTTTAAATAGACTTTTTAATGAAGCGTTGTGTTAGCCTAGTGAACTAGACCCAATTCTTGCTTTGCAAAGAATGGCCTAGGAATGCTCCATTGGAACCTCAGCAGCTCCTACCAGGACTCTGGCTAGCCAATCACAGCTCTCTAGAGGGGTTTCAAACACATAAAGAGCTGTGATTGATCCATAATGGTGGGCCAATCATAGTGCTCTAACTGCTTAGTGAACAAATCACAGAGCTTTATCCGCTTTGTGGGCCAATCAGGGCACTCTATATGCCTGGTGGGTGGGATGATGCAACAGAGTGAAACAAGAGTATGTCACATTCATTGTCCAGTGGAATGCGGAGATCATTTGAAAGACAACGGTAGAACCCGCCCCACAATCGAGAGCGTCAATGGAGCATGGCCAGACTAAATAATACATTTATTTAGTCTGGCTTGCCAGGCTAGCGTTGTGTGACATTTACAGAAATGTTCTGAACCAACATAAAACTCTGAAAATAAAACCCTTCACAATAAAATAAAATAAGGATACTAAATTGTTTCTGGTTAAATTTTAACTGAAATCAAAACTGAAAAAATAACAAATTGACTGGTGCATGATGTATTTTATCCTAAGCAATAATAATTAAGTGGCACAAATGAACTCATTGCCACAAACCTTAAGAAACCATAGATTAACATGAACTGAGAAGACAATGTTGAATCACCAAAAATAAACCCAAATGCATTTATTTAATCTTCCCCATGTCCTGTCCGGCTGTAAAGCAATCAAAATTTAGGTCTGAGTGCCGACGTTTTACTCTCACAGGTGGAGCATCAGTAATAATGCCTTGCCTGAAAAGTTTATTAGAAATATTTTTGGTTGTTTTAAATCCCAACGAACATGGAGAGAGAAGTGAAAGAGAATGGGGGAGAAGAAAGGAAGAGGTGGGGGAAGAAGGAAAAAAGTTCACAGAAATAAACAGTAAAGGATGTAGAAGAATCTGCTTCTAGACCTGCAGACAAATAGAAAAGAAAGGTGACACAAAACACAACAGAACCAAAATGACTAACTTTATATTACCGTGCCAAACGCACAAGGATATATCATTTGCTGAAAAGCACGCGGTAACGACATTACTTGGTTCTTTTAACACAGAAAGACGTGTCGACTACTACTGCAGTCCTCTTCAGAGCTCGCCGCTCTGAACCAAGTAATGTAGTTAGAAGAGACACTCAGAATGAACGCACAAAACACGGTAAGTATTTATAGTGCATTTAGTGCCAACAACCCTAGGTTGTGTTAAAAATGCTCTAGTTCATACTGTGAGAGCATCATGCGAGCACCAGTGTGCATATATGAGCTTGAGTGTGTGTAAGGTTCCTCTAGTGTTCAATAATAAGTGTGAGGGGTCACACACCTGCCCTCAAAGACCTGCAGAAGATGTAGGATACGTAGATCATTTTGTCATATGTTTTGCTTTTTATGTTTTTCTAAATTGTAAAATGTTTTATCACTGAAAATACTTTATGTACATTTCTAAAATGTTTATAGTAGATATTAAAGCCTTTGAATTAATGCATCTTGTTTGCAAGACTATTTTTGAAATAATTAACAGATTTTTATGAAAGAAACCCTGCGTTGTTTTCCCTAAAACCACTTAAGTTTAATCAGCGGTGGAATAAAACAAATGACACATTTAAAGCAGAAAACTCTTTATATTTGTATTTAAGGAGTGATCATTTGGCATTACAGGAGAGAATGAGAGGGTTTTCTAATCTCATCCACTGTAGAACTTCACAAAAACAGCTGAGGTAAATAACTTTTTAAATATTTCAATCTTTTGTAGTTTACCTTCATTCTTTAATAACTAAAATCTGATTTATTACACAAAAATATGGGATTAGTTTCACAAATAGTCCAGCTAACTCATTCTAAGTGCTGGAGTTAAATATGTCCCGAAAAGAAAAAAAAAACTCTTAAAGCAACACATTTTAAAAAATATTTCCAATGAGGTTATTTTTCATTATTCTTCACGAAAAAAAAAAGAATACATCATGAAGGTAGATGGCAATATGGGAAACAAAAGGATAAACAGTGAGTTTTGTCGCCTTCGTGGGTTTGTGTCGAAGCGTGTGTTTGTAAACAAAAGTCATCTGGAACAGATCAGGGCAAAATCCTGAACATTTACAGAGAAATAAAAGCTAAAAAGACCAGAGAAAGGAGGAAAATCTTCAGCGATTCACCCTGAAACAACTGAATAAAAGTATATTAACACTTACATCTCTCAGTATTACTGTATAAATAATCACATTGTTTACTGACAGCCACTCATCCTAGTCGCTGCAAATGGCTCCAGTCACACGTACTCTGAACGTGGATCAGGATGAGCAGCTGCTTACTAACTTATCTGAATAAAACAGAATCCTCACGTATATGACCAGTTTCTTCACTGTGACACCCGCTCAGAGACATGATGCACACTCATCAGACATTTATATACACTGTACAAGAATTTGATGAACCTGAGAAACAGTTTGTACATGCTCAGATGGGCAAGTGTATGAAAGCATATGAAGTTCAACTCGTGACGCTCTTCAGGTTAAAAACACAACAATAAAGGAAGAGAGGAAGCTACAGCAAAGAACCGTATCTTTAGATTTTATAATTACACTGACAAAAACTATGAAGCTCTTTTCAGTTGCTTTGTCGTGGCCCGATTCCTAAACGACTCATGCAAAGTATCTTTAGGGTTCAGGTATGAAGGATTTCTATGGCCAACACCTAAAAAGGAAAGAAGCCCCAGGAGACGGATTTGGAGTTAAGACCTCCACGTTAAAAACTAGAAATTCAAGCATCTCTTGTGGATGGTTCAGTGACAAAAGTGCTGAGTGAGGGACAACAGGGACAAACAGCCGATTGGCTCTCATTGCGTTAAAGGGATTTTTGACCATTTTAAAGTGTTTCTAAAGACAAATTATCTTACAGGTTTGGATAGCTTCCTAAATGGCCTCTGTTTGGAGAAATAGAGCTCAGGTTTTTCAGGAATGGTAAGCTAATGACTAGTTGACATGTAGCTGCTGTTTTAAAACAACAGCTGCATGTCAAAGTGGTTTCTATTTTATAAACTTCTACACCACTGTTATGACTTCAGTCAATCAGGAATTCCTTAATAAACGTGTAATACCAACTTTACAGTGGTGTAAAGGTTTCTAAAATAACTTGGATCGAATACTGGTGCACTGATGCCATTTTTCTAATAGAGGTCATTCAGGAAGCAATTTACAATAGACATGATGCAAAACACGTCTAAATGACCCCCAAATAAATCCTTAAAGAAATTAGAAAATACCCGAGTACCCGTGAAACCTTTCCTTCTGTTAAAGAGCGACAGAGGAGCAGGCTCCATTATTTTCACTGTGCTTTTTACACATTAATATAACTTTAAATTGATCGGGCCCACTCCAGTGAAACAGAAAAAAAACCCAGATAAACACGTAAAAGAAGTGATTAAATGTTACGTTCATGATGGATGGAGGTTTTCAGTGGCTGAGATGTTGGTAAGATCACTCCCAACACATTAGGTCCAGCGTTCTTTCCAAAAAGCTATGTAAATGCACATTTAGTCCTAGATTCTATGGCCAGTAGAGCAAATTGCTAAGTAGACCACTCAGTTTCTGACTGCAAGGATGCAGGACAGGCTAAGGGTGCAGCAGGCTGCCAAATGACTGAAAATGTGAGGAGAGAACAGCAGGTGAAGAAGGTGAGGTGGTAGGTAGGCTAAACTCCACCTGGAGCCGGGGGGGACAAACCCCACTGCCTGCTGGGTCAACGTCAGAGCCATCACAAACAAAAGGTCCACCTCGCATGTGTAGCTGGTAGAAGCAGGAGTTTAGGAGGCCAGGGTCATCATGGTGGGACGGTGACACCCACTCAGAGCACCGTGCAGACGGCTGAGAATGGAGCTGGACTGGAGAACGATCGGAGCTGGATTCCTGTAGGTCGTCCGTGGATCGGAAGGAGAACGGACACTCAAAAAGCTGCTGAGGGCATTCATCATCACACAGCTCTGACAGACTGATTCCCAGCTCTCCCTCTGGACACACACAAGGAGAATAAAAAAGGGAAATCAAACTAATAATCTCATGTATTTTATATTCAAGTACTTATTTATATTTTTTAGTGTTTTTAACCAAGAAGGGAAGTTAAATGTAAAAGATTTACTATATTTAGCCAGCCACCGCATCCACAAGCATAACCTGAACCTATATTGTAAACTAAAGATGGATAAATGTGCAGAAAAGGCTCATCTCAGATGGACACAAAAACAACAAAAATCCATTCTTGATTCAAAATAAATTTGTGTCATCTCACTTTTAGAAAATCAAACATAAAAATGTGCAAATGCCAGCATCTCTGGTAGCACCGAGCCTTGCAAAGCAAACTCAGGGTCTCGCAAACGAAAGTTGGGATCTGAACATACACCCCCCCCCCCCCCACACACACACACCCCCACCATGAGAGAAACTTGCATGAACATTAAGGGACCATGGATAGAAATGTTGTAGTTCAAGTCTGTTTTCTAGTAAAAGTGTCAGGCATCAGGAGGAAAGTCAGAGAGCACTGCTGAGTGTCACAAATGACAGATTTTTCTTGCAACTATACAATAAGTGGAAAATTTAGTTACTAAACAATTAAAACATTGTATTTAAATGGAGGTGTCATGTTATGGAATTGTGTCCACTTCCTAATTTTCTATGTTCCATGTTTAAATGTCTCTAAATTAAACAACAGCAGCATCAATTTGTTTCTTGTCTTTTATAAAAATGTTCAATAGATTATTTTTATTTAATGATTTGCAATCATCAAAATAAGTAAACAACAACTGTTTTATGATTCAAATGAAAACAAGGCCACCTGACCAGATAAGGCTCGTAACTGTTCTTTAAAGGTAACCTTGGTAGTTTGGCTTGCTTTTAACACCCCAGTGTCCATTTGGTAGAACCAAAACCAAACCGTACCTCCTCGCTGTGTGCTCGTCCTTAATCTAAATGCTGAAATGTCTCCCAGTCTTCATCAGTGTCTTGCGGCTCATCACTAAATTAAACAAATCAGCTGTGTTCTTGATCTAAAGCATACAGGGAATGTGCTGGAAGCAGACTGCAGCGCCAGGCATGTAACTCCATTTTTTTTTAGTTCAACAGATTGGACTAGCACTCTGAAGTTGCAAATGCCATAATCTGGCCACAGAGGGCGGTGGGGGTGTGCGTAATTTTAATTAACTCTGTCATTTTAGCACATACTGGTTCAAGAAAATTATTTAAAAATATTAAAAAAATTGCCTTGTGTGGCTTTAAGCTCCAACTAGACATTAAGAACCTAAAATAGAAAAGACCATGTGATTTATTAAAAGTAATCAGAATACTTCTTCTTCTTTACCTGCAGGCCCAGCCTGCTTTCAGTGGCCTTTGTGGACTGAGATCATGGCTTTAAGAGAAAGCGAGGAGTTCGTCTTCGCCTGGAGCGGCCTTCGTCTTCTGGACCACAACGTCAACATTCACCATGAACACGCACACACACACACACACACACGCACACACACACACACACACACACACACACACACACACACACACACACACACACACACACACACACACACACACACACACACACACACACAGCGATGCAAGACAGATGTGACCACAAAGAGGGAGAAAACAAAGGTGGGGAGACATGAAAATGTTTCAAAACAAAATCTAATGATGTGACGTTGAATTCAAATGTAAATCGTGTGATTAAAGAAACTTAAAAACTCAAGAAACTGCTTAAATGTTGAATCTGACAGCAAAATGTATGACGTAATATAAACGTGTGTGATAATAAATGATGCTATTAACATTTATGTAAAACAACAGCAGTTCCACAGAAACACAGATGAGATGTTTTATGAATAATTAAAAATGAAAACTAAAGCCAAAGGCTCCACAATCTGCTTTCATTCAGAGTTGAAATTAGATAAAACATGCCTTTTCCACAGTTTTGTCAGCGTGTGATCAGAATAATAGTTGAGACTTTGTATTTGATGTAAAACATCTGTGGAGGAGCTTGAACAATTATCTTCTAATTGTTACCTTGTTTGCTTGGATCCATGTTAGCATGTGGAGGTAATGGAGACTCTAGCTGCACGGTGCTGATGGAGGTCTGTGACAACAACCCAGAGGAAATGTTTCCCTCCAGATCTCCACCCTCCTCCTCCTCCTGGTCTCCGTCCTCTCTGAAACACACAACACAGTCGCTCTAAGCTTGAGAACTGTAGGACTGTTTGACAGCAAACACAGTTTTAATCCTTTATCCAGTTCAATGTCTCTTCTCAGCTTCTCTCTTCTTCACGTTTCTTTGTTTGACCATTGAAGCTGAAGAAATTCATTATTATAAGATGATAAGCCCCATCTTTGTAAGAAAGAGACAAAGAAGCCTTCTGAGTTTACTTGATTTTGTTGTAAATGTTTCTATTTCGTGCCACGTCACTACAATGTGTAGCAACCCGGCCATACTCACATGTTCCCTGACTGCAGGTTGTACTTCCTTCGGCTCGTCCTCGTAGCCTGTTGGTTAAAGTACGCGTGGCGTTCAGATTTCTTCCACATGTAGTAATATGCCACACACTCGCCCACCGAGCGCGTTCGTACCTGACAAACACATGCACGTTTTTCTTTGAGTCATAAAAAATTAACGCAGCAAATTCGTAGAGTAAATAGAGTTTACATTAGGCATGCTTCTACGATCAGAACTTCAAGGTATTTTCACCAGAACTTCCCGGCGTGGGTGTCTCCACTTCACCTGGCTGGCAGAAGGGACCATTTTTTGGGCCATTTTCATGAACTAACTAAGCACCTGAACAGGGATAGGCACTCGGGAAGGTGCGGAGGAGTCGGAACTTTTGGTTAACTCACGCTGATTGGTTGTAACTCAATAGGAAATGACATCAGCAGACACCATGTCAGGGACAATTTATTTAGAGCACATTTCTTTGTTGCTCACGCAACCCAAAGTGCTGTACATACCAAACCTACGCATTAAATTATGGGCCATTCCCATCTGTACCGGGTCGGCCCGGGCCGGGTAGCGTAGGTTGTTTACATATCTGGGTGGCCTGGTATTTTTCCGGGCCAACCAAGGCTCATTCTCAGCCCTCTTCTCGAGGGGGTCTGCTTCAGGCCGACCAGGGCCAACACACCCACTGCTGACAGCAAATTCACACCTTCCATTAGAGCAAGCCTCTGATTGGTGGGTAGAATCAGCCCACATGGGCTTAAGGCAAGGATGTGTGGAATCAACTGGGCCAGGCTGGGGCCGACTGGGGCTACCCGGCCCGGGCCGACCCGGTACAGATGGGAATGGCCCATTATACACAATAGAGACACCAAAGAAAAAAATCTATTACATAAGAACAACACGGCAGTATTAAAAACACACAATAAATAATCTTGAAAAACAACAACAATGAATGAGGATAAAATAATAATGGCACTTCCACACTAGGCTCAGCTCCACTCCGCCCAGACACGATGAGAAATGTTCACATCTGGGTAGCCTGGTTTTTTCCAGGCGCTCTGCTTTGGGCCAAACTGGTCCAAATACACACACTGCCGACTGATAGGCTGGCTCACAGTCACACCTGCCATTAGAGGCAGGCTCCGACTGGCAGACTGAATCAGCCAGCGGGGGATTCCCGCATTCGCAATTCATGTACACACACACACAATTGCACAGCGCACTGCCAGGCTTGAGCTGCCCCATGGGAGGACACACAGCAGTCTGGATGCAATATCAGAGTCAGATGGTGTTTCTCAAGGCGTCTGGCCTTGTGAGGCAATGTCTTGTGAGGCCAGGCGCCTTGTTTACAAGGACACTGTTCTTCCTTGGTCAAAGAAAACGGTTAAATGGAACAGACTTGCATCACATGACCGAGGCTTCCACTGCGGTCACGCAACGCCGCGTGACACGGGAGATAAGATTACAGGTGCTGGCCAGTAAATTAGAATATCATCAAAAGGTTGAAAATATTTCAGTAATTCCATTCAAAACGTGAAACTTGTACATTATATTCATGCAATGCACACAGACCAATGTATTTCCGATGTTTATTGCGTTTAATTTTGATATTTATAGGTGACAACCAATGAAAACATCAAATCTGGTATCTCAGAAAATTAGAATATTCTAAAGGCCAATGAAAAAATGTTTGTTTCTCTAATGCTGGCCAACTGAAAAGAATGAACATGAAAAGAATGTGCATGTATAGCACTCAATACTTAGTCGGGGCTCCTTTTGCCTCAATAACTGCAGTAATGCGGCGTGGCATGGACTCGATCAGTCTGTGGCACTGCTCAGGTGTTATGAGAGCCCAGGTTGCTCTGATAGTCGTCTTCAGCTCCTCTGCATTGTTGGGTCTAGCGTATTGCATCCTCCGCTTCACAATACCCCATAGATTTTCTATGGGGTTAAGGTCAGGCGAGTTTGCTGGCCAATCAAGGACAGGGATACCATGGTCCTTGAACCAGGTGCTGGTGGTTTTGGCACTGTGTGCAGGTGCCAAGTCCTGTTGAAGGTGAAGTCTGCATCCCCATAAAGTTGGTCAGCAGCAGGAAGCATGAAGTGCTCTAAAACTTCCTGGTAGACGGCTGCATTGACCCTGGACCTCAGGAAACAGAGTGGGCCAACACCGGCAGATGACATGGCACCCCACACCATCACTGACGGTGGAAACTTTACACTGGACCTCATGCAACGTGGATTCTGTGCTTCTCCGCTCTTCCTCCAGACTCTGGGTCCTTGATTTCCAAAGGAAATGCAGAACTTGCTTTCATCAGAAAACATAACTTTGGACCACTCAGCATCAGTCCAGTCCTTTTTGTCCTTGGCCCAGGCGAGACGCTTCTTGCGCTGTTTCTTGTTCAAGAGTGGCTTGACACACGGAATGCGACACCTGAATCCCATGTCTTTCATGAGTCTCCTCGTGGTGGTTCTTGAAGCGCTGACTCCAGCTGCAGTCCACTCTTTGTGGATCTCCCCCACATTTTTGAATGGGTTTGTCGTCACAATTCTCTGCAGGGTGCGGTTATCCCTAGAGCTTGTACACTTTTTTCTACCACATTTTTTCCGTCCCTTCGCCTGTCTGTTAATGTGCTTGGACACAGAGCTCTGCGAACAGCCAGCTTCTTTAGCAATCACCTTTTGTGTCTTGCCCTCCTTGTGCAAGGTGTCAATGATTGTCTTTTGGACAGCTGTTAAGTCAGAAGTCCTCCCCATGATTGTGGTGCCTTCAAAACAAGACTGAGGGACCTTTTAAAGGCCTTTGCAGGTGTTTTGAGTAAATCAGCTGATTAGAGTGGCAGCAGGTGTCTTCTATATTCAGCCTTTTCAGAATATTCTAATTTTTTGAGATACCAAATTTGGAGTTTTCATTAGTTGTCACTTATGAATATCAAATTTAAATGTAATGAACATTGGAAATACATTGGTCTGTGTGCATTGCATGAATATAATGTACAAGTTTCACGTTTTGAATGGAATTACTGAAATATTTTCAACCTTTTGATGATATTCTAATTTACTGGCCAGCACCTGTATATTGTATATACATTAGTTTCAATGTAAATATATAATGAGACTTTTACTTTTTTAATTGTGTATACATGTTTAAAATGTTTAAAATGAGATAAAATAAATAAAAACTATAATAAAAAAGTAATAATGTCAGGAAAGAGAGAGAGAGAAAATGAATAGGTAAGAGGGAAAACCGTAGATCGCGGGGAAAGTCGGAATAAGTAGAAAGAGCAGAATAAGGACAGAGTGGTGATGAAGGTCACGCAAAAGCCAGCTTCAACAGGTGAGCTTTCAGCTGCTTTTTAAAGGAGACCACTGAGTCCACTGATCTCAGGCTCGGGGGAGAGAGGTGTTAAAAAGATGAATGCACAGCGGGGAGGTAAGTTTAGCTTTTGGTTCTAGAAACAGACACTAGGGGGTGCTACAAGCAAGCCAAAACTGCCTAGTTTCCCTTTAATTAGGCATTGGACAAAGGAGGCGACTCAATCAAAAGTCCATCGCCCAAAACAACTGGGTTTTGTAAAATTAGAAGAGTTACAGGCGAAGCAGAATGGAAGCACAACCAAATAAACATTTGTACTGCTTTAAAATTGCTGTTACTAAACTTCCAACACCAAAAAAAAAAACAGCAGAATTCCCACCACAACGTAATTCACAGGGCTTTGTTGTTTCATAGCGCTACAAAACGGCGCCTCTTCTGGTCACAGACCGCCACATTTTTCACCACAAAGTCGCTCTCCCGATCCTCCGAATGGATTAAAATATGCTGTACTTCAACAGAGTAAAACTTTTAATGTTTTAGTGTCTGTGGATGCTTCTTGGTGCTCATCAGTGACATTGAGACGTCGTGATATGCTGATGTCTATGCAAGGTCCTGAAAGGGCTGAATTTGAATGGAAACAACAGCCAAGAGGAACGAACCATCGTATCTCCCGGTTATCGTCCCACTTCCAGTAATTAACCTAAAGTTCCAGGGATACAACTATTTAAAACTGACCTTATTAGCCTGAATGAGATGGAAGTCTTTCCCATAAACACGATAGCCGTGCTCAAAGTTCCTACACTCCTCCTCACTCCAAGAACACAGCTCCTCTACAGACAGGAGGAGAAGAATATTAGTGCTGAGTGTCAAAAGAAATCAGACATTTAAAGGTGGAAAAAAATGCTAGCAATCATGCTCTACAGCAAATGATGAACTCTAGTTTTGTTGAGTTTTCAAAAATGAGTCGTAAAATAGAAAAACGAAGTTTTACCGCTGAACACTTTCACGTTGAACCGTAATCGTCTCAGTGCTTCTTCTGCATTGAAATTGCACTTCACTAGTTCATACAGAGCCTGCAAGTTAAACAAAAGCAAGCAGAAAAGTTAAAAACAACACTTTCATACAGGGCCTCACCCAGCAACTATAATCTGCATGGTATGAGTTACTAAATCATGTTAAATAGAAAGTTTGGTAGCAAATCAATGCCAATATATTGACCAGAAAAGCTGTAAAAGAAAGAAAATGACAGTTTTGTCAAGGATATAAAAAAGCCTGTACCTGCTCATTGTCTGGAACAGTGCCCCCTTGGGTCCATACTGCCCCCTCCTGGCTGTGAGATCTCTGAGTATTCAGCAGAAAATCCTCTACTTCCTGCAATGGAAGAACCTCAGGCTTCCACAACAACTGGTCTTCACTGAAGCCCACTGGCGTAAGAAAGACAGATTAAAACAGAATGAACAAGACGAAGACGACAGAAAGAGCTGCAATCTTACTTTATGTAAAAATGATTGCCAAAGCTGCATTTTTGTAGTTCTCCTGACTGACCCAGGATCTGTAGTGTCAACTATTTTAGACACTGGGGATTTTCTCCTGGTTGTGTTATGGCTGCAGCAACGAGCAGGGGTGTGAGAAGGGGGTTATAGCATGGGCGTCGCACCCGTGGGGGATGTGGGGGTTTCAACACCCACACTTTTCCAGCTGTTTTGCAAAAGGAATAACTGAACGCTCCTTCTACTGAATAGTTTTTGTTGTCCAACTTTAAAGCCAGCTTTGTCAACATTCAGTGACGAATAAAGTTTGTCGAAACCGCCCCGCCTATACCCGAGTACATCCAGAATAAAGTATCCAAAAATGTTTCAATAAATAATAAGGCAAAGCATTTTCTCAATTGTAAATCACTATTTATATACTTTATTGTTCATTAATTATGCCTTATTTAATATATTGTATAGAAGTGTGGGGTAATAATTATGTTCATCACAACCCCTCTCCAAAAACATGTAATAAGGAACATATATAAAGTAGGATACTGTGATCACACAAACATAATATTTCAGAACTATATATTATACTGCTCAACTGTTATTTTAGGCCTGTAAAAATGCATTGTCAAGAAATATCCAAAGACTATTTTAAAGAGAGAGAAGGAAGCTGCCGCCTTAGGGGATGTAGCAATTTTAAAGTGTAACTGGTGAGGACAACAAGGAAAAGTATGTGGGTATCAGGGTGGGGCCAAACTTTGGCATGGTTTGGGGGAGGAGCTCAAACAATGCTCAGACATCAAAATATTCAAAATATTTAAACATATTCAAATATAAACATATGTCACTTCTAAAATACAGAACAGAGGAAGGAAGGTTGTTTATTAAGCACTTAGGATACAAAAATGTTGACACTTGTGACAAATTATACTTTTTATTGTTTGGTTTCTTTTCATTAATTATGAATCTGATATAATATCAGGGTGACCTTATGTTAAATGTAAGAGAATGATGATAGTTTGCTATGATTGATTATCATATTTATTATTAATATTATTAGTATTAGCATTGCTGTCATGGAAAACTTATGTATAATTTTTCTTTATTAATAATGCTGTCCTTGTTATTTTGATTACTGGATCAGAAATAGATGTTATGATCTTTAGTCGGAGGTTAAATATGAACATTGTAAATGTGAGGTTGTTGCAGGGTGGGGTAAAGGGGCGGGGTTAAATAAGCTCTGGCTTCTCCCCACTCCCTTTGGACATAGGCTTTTGCTTTCTTCTTGGTGTTTATTTTTTTATATGACTATTATATATATATATATATATATATATATATATATATATATATATATATATATATATATATATATAAGGTTTTTCCTTGAAAACGATCATAGATGTTATGCTCATCAAGTTGTTGAGCCTATAGAGCTGGGGAGATCGCTTTAGTTGAGAGTTTTGTGAAAAATACTTCATAAACACTATCATATATCTAGAGAGATATGTCCCCTAATAGTTGCTTTAGGGATTTTTTTTTCAGTCTAATTATAACAATAATTTGATGAACTGTCTAAAACTTAATCAACAATATCTTTACCAGCAAGACTGAGCAATTTGCCATTAAGCTAAAGTGACAACTCAGGGGCTCAGGGGATCTGTCACCACAAAACTCCTCTGGCCTTAGTCCCATCACAGTTTGTGGTCAACCCTAGATAGTTGGACAAACAATAACCCACAAATTCTGACACAAGCATTTTATTTTTGCAAGAATGGGCAAATATTCTGAATTTGGCCCTTAATTTGACTGACATAATGTATTTATTGACTGTAAAATGCTTGTAATTAACCTTCAATAAACCATAAAAACATCTGACAAAAATAATCTAAAAACTCTAAACCAGAAAACTTTGTAAACAATTCTGTCTTACTTAAAACATTTGGCCACAGTTGTACATAAAACTGTTAAACGTACCCGTTTGCTGGTAGATGTAGGGACTTATTGGAGGGATTTTTGCTTGATACATGGAGCCGACCATAATCTCCTAAAGAAAGAAACAATTATGGAAATCAGACAAGTGTGTAGAAGTTGTTTAAGGAATCTGCAACTGCCACAAATCTGTTCTGCGTGGTTGGTATTCAAATGAAACACAGAGTCCTGCCAGATGCAAAAACCAGCACTGAGTTAGTGTCACTTTTAAAGAAATTATTAGTATCAAAATATTTTCAATGTACAATCCATTTTAAATTGAGGATAGGATGAATCTCAGCCTCTCAATATCTTTGCATTTTATCATAGTGATGATCCACATTTCTTAATTCCTTAAAAAGCATGAATATAAAGGAATTTTAGCCTTGTTATTTGATTTTACTCAAATTTTACTAACTTTTACATGAGCTGTCTTTACTGAACACAAAGTCAATTTTGTGACAATAAATTATCTTGAATCTTGAATTTAATGAAAGCCATGACTCAGGAAAGCCTCATGTCTGATCATCCTCCAATAAAGCACATTTCTGCTCTTTTAAAGCGTGTTAGAGCAACACGATCTCTAGACTACAGAAGGTTTGAAGATAAATGCTTCTGACAAATAACAGAACATTCCATCAGATGTCTGTGGAATGTTTGCGTCCTTCATACAGAGGAGGAAGGAGTCTGTTATCATAAATAGTAAAGGGTGAACTTTAGTATCCCAAACAAAATACCACAGAAGAAAGGCCTTGTCACTGAATATAGTGACAAAGGATCAGTCATTGTGAAATAATCTCACCCACCTTGTGCTCTTCATTGGAGGGAATAGAAGCATCATCAGAGTCCTCATCTGATGAACTGACAGACGTAGCTTTATCTCCATCTGAAAGAGACAAAACATGCAGAAAGTACAGGCAGAGATCAGATGTACACTCAATGGCCACTGTATTGGGTACACCTGTCCAAATGCTCAACACAAATTACTAATCAGCCAATCACATGGTGGCAATTCAATGCATTTAGGCATGTTGACATGGTCAAGACAGTCTGCTGCAGTTATAACCGAGTTTCAGAAAGGGTGATTGAAGTGACTTTGAACGTGGCATGGTTGTTGGTGCCAGACGGGCTGGTCTGAGTATTTCAGAAACTGCTGATCTTCTGGGATTGTCAAACACAACCATCTCTAGGGTTTACGGAGAATGGTCTGAAAAAGGAAAAACATCCAGTGAGCGGCAGCTCTGTGGGTGAAATACCTTGTTGATGCCAGAGGTCAGGGGAGAATGACCAGACTGGTTTGAGTTGGTAGAAAGGCAACAGTAACTCAAATAACCATTCGTTACAACCAACGTATGCAGGAGAGCATCTCTGAATGCACAACACGTTGAACCTTGAGGCAGATGGGCTACAGCAGCAGAAGACCACACCAGGATCCACTCCTGTCAGCTAAGATCAGGAAACTGAGGCTACATTTGGTGCAGGCTAACCAAAATTGGTCAACTGAAGATTGGAAAAATGTTGCCTGGTCTGATGAGTCTCTATTACTGCTGTGACATCTGGATGGTAGGATCAGAATTTGGCAATAAGCAACATGAAAGCATGGATCTATCCTGCCTTCTATCAATGGTTAATGCTGGTGGTGGTGGTGTAATGGTGTGGGGGGCATTTTCTTGACACACTCTGGGCCCCTGAGTACTAATTAATCATTGTTGCAACGCCGCAGCCAACCTGAGTATTGTTGCTGATGAAGTCCATCCCTTTATGACCACAGTGTACCCATCTTCTGATGGCTACTTCCAGCAGGATAATCCGCCATGTCATAAAGCTCCAATCATCTCAGACTGGTTTCTTGAACATGACAATGAGTTCACTGTATTCAAATGGCCTCCACAGTCACCAGATCTCAATCCAATAGAGTACCTTTGGGATGTGGTGGAACAGGAGCTTCGCATCATGGATGTGCAGTCGGCAAATCTGCAGCAACTGCCTGACGCTGTCATGTCAATATGGACCAAAATCTTTGAGAAATGTTTTCAGTATATTGTTGAATTTATTCCACAAAGGATTATAGGAGTTCTGAAGGCAAAAGGGGGGTCCAACCCGGTACTAGCAAGGTGCACCTTGCCTAAGTCACACCCATCTACTTCCGGACCATGGGTCCCTGGACTAACGAAAAATTGAATGCAAATCAACGGGGCTAAAAACGCTATTTTCTAATTCTGCTTGTTATGTGCCATGGATTTCACATGATGCCTGTGAATTTTAAAGGTGCATTTTGATACCAAAAACGTGTTTATTTTCGAATGGGGGGAAAACGTTATTTTAGGTTTTGTGTGAAAATAAGTCCAGGACTACAAATGCGCTTCACGAAAGTGAGGTCATCGAACCCGACACGGGAAAGAACAGAGGGAAAATGGCTGTAAGTTCAGCAAACTTGAAATCCTTCCTACTGGAGGAAAAAAAGCCACCATTAATCTGGCCATGTGGTAAGTAGCAGGTAAGCTAGAGGAGATGAGATTCTGTGGTGACGTTACATATATGCGACGTCTGATTTGTAGTCATGCTAACTACAAACTTTTACAAGCTGATAAATCTCCAAAGTACATGACTGGTGTGGTCAAAACACACATTATTAGTTTTCATTTAAATTGCAGTACGACATATGTGCGATCCAGGGCATAAGACAAAGCGGACTAGAAAATAGCTCTTTTAGCCTCACTGACTTGCATTAGGTTGTTTGTTCTTCCAGGGACCCATGAGCCAACCGGAAAGGGAGGACACTTAGGCTCCCTATTATGACAGAGCTTTTTCCCCACATGTTTGAAATGGCTTTGGCATCAACTTTGAAAGATTCAGACTTGGGGTCTTCTTGGAGACATGAGCAAATAACAGCACATAAGTCATTTATTTAAAAAAATAATATATGCCTTCATCTTTGATGGTTTATAGCAAACTGCCTCCATTTCCACAGTGATGGATTCGTCAAGTTGTTCATAGCTCTGATTTGTCCTAGCGCTGTCCAATTACGTGCAGAAACAGTAAAAAAAAAAAAAACTGTAGATACCTCCCCTACGACTGAGCTCTAGTTGCAAGACTACACTATATAGTCTGGCTTGCCAGGCTAGTAACTACCAATAATCTAATGAGGAAAAAAAAAGAGTCCATCACACATTTATTAACACCTTCTATAAATGTGAAATGGGTGCTTTTTTTAATGTAATTTATTTATGTGTTAATTTAGAAATCTTTTACCTTGGAGGCAGCAAAGCACATCTGAGGTGTCTGAGGAGGTGAGATCATAGGCTGACACTTCTTTTTCTTTCTCCCCATGAAACAGATCCTTAGTTATCTGATCCTGTAAATCAGGGAAAAAACACAGGAGATGATGGTCTAAATTCAGCAGAACAAAGTAAAAATATGTACATATAAATGTGCTTTACATGTGTAATTATCAACTTCATATTTCTGGCTGATTCAAACCTGTAAACATAAGCAAGGCCATTGTCATGTGTTGACTCTTACCTTGTCCTGTGGTAAGCTGGTGGTTATAAAACATGTTTCCTTCTCTGGATCTGATACTGTGTAGCCATACAAAGCCAGCAGCTCTTCCAGGGGAAGGTCACTGGCCTACAAACAATTTAAAAAGACAAACAATAGATAAAGGGACACGAGAGAGGAAGCAGAGAGAGCAGACCGAGACAGGTTTGAATTCTTTTCCATGTTTTTGAAGATAAGAACTTGGGTATGATATATCTAGTTTACATGGTGTTTTATATAAAAATACATAGTAATTGTGGTACTGAAGGATTACAGTCTGGTGGTTTTACACAAGAGAACAAAGGCTAAATTGGTTTGGACACAAAAATGAAAGGTTAAGAACTCGATCAAAGACACAAGACAGACAAATTTTTATGTCTTACTAATGTTTCAGAAATGTCCAGTTTAAGTCTTAAATAGTTTGACATGAGAGACTCATTGAAATCAACTCAATGTGAATGAAGCAATGCCAATTTTATGTTTCATGCAAGACATACAAGACTGTTAAGCCACGCCTAGTATATGTTTGATCACAGCTTCTTTGAAAGACATGCCACCTGCATCACAATGTTCATGTTAAAATGGTTGGTTAGTAATGTGATAGGACAAAGCTGGTTTTGTTCTCTTGAGAAACATACGTGATGGGTTAGGGTAGTGCAGTTACAACTGAATGTAATCATTTTATGAAATAATATCCAGTAGAGTGGAGAGATATAATCTAGTTTTTGGTGCACTGTGTTGCAAACACAAATGATTCTGGATGGATTTTAAAATCATGAAGAATAACTATCTTATTGTAATTAACAACACCATGTTGAGGAATGATTAAGGTGGAATGATGAAGCGGGGAGGTACAGCACCTGTCATGGGGAGCACATGACGGAGTGCAACATTAATCAGGTTATTCCAATGAAACAAAGGTGAATAAAGCTTCATCATTTACAAATAGGAAGAAAATTGTCCAGGATAAGATAAAAAGTACTAAATTTAGCACCATTAATGGAAACTTCATGAAGAGGGGGAAATGTCAACCCCTTAAACGTAAAAATTTTAGATTCAAACATCAAAGAATTTAAATGAGGAAATATCAGAATATTCTTTTATTTTATTATTTATTTATTTTTATTATGACTTAACTAGATTGTTGTGTCGGTGGGCAAGACACTTCACCCTTCCTAAATGGTAAATGGCCTGTATTTGATATAGCACCTTCTAGAGTCCAAGAACCCCCCAAGGTGCTTTACAACACAATCAGTCATTCACACACACATTCACACGCTGGTGGGGATGAGCTACATTGTAGCCACAGCTGCCCTGGGGCGCACTGACAGAGGCAAGGCTGCCGAGCACTAGCGCCAGCGGTCCCTCCAACAACCGGCAGCAGGCAAGGTGGGTTAAGTGTCTTGCCCAAGGGCAAAATTACAGCGACAAACTGAGCGGGGCTCGAACCTGCAACCTTCCAATTAATGCACTTAACTCCTGTTTCCCCTTGCCTGCTGGTGGTAGTCAGAGTGCCATGTCTCGGTGGACTCACCTCTTGTCAGTTCACCCTAAGGCAGCTGGGGCTACAATGTAGCTCATCATCACAAGTGTGCGAATGTATGTGAATGGGTGAAATACTTTAGTGTCCTCAGACTCAGAAAGGCGTCGTCGTCGACTTCCTCCGCTTATCCGCGTCCGGGTCGCGGGGTCAGCATCCCAACTAAAGAGCTCCAGACCGTCCTCTCCCCGGCCTTCTACACCAGCTCCTCCGGCAGGACCCCAACGAGTTCCCGAACCAGATTGGAGATGTAACCTCTCCAATGTGTCCTGGGTCGACCCGGGGGCCTCTTGCCGGCAGGACATGCCCGAAACACCTCCCCGGGGAGGCGTCCAGGAGGCATCCTGACCAGATGCCCAAACCACCTCAACTGGCTCCTTTCGATCCGGAGGAGCAGCGGTTCTACACTGAGTCCCTCCTGAATGTTCGAGCTCCTCACCCTATCTCTAAGGCTGAGCCCGGCCACCCTACGGAGGAAACTCATTTCGGCCGCTTATATCCGCGATCTCGTTCTTTTGGTCATTACCCAAAGCTCATGACCATAGGTGAGGACTGGGACGTAGATCGACCGGTAGATTGAGAGCCTGGCTTTCTGGCTCAGCTCCCTCTTCACCACGACAGATCGGCTCAGCGTCCGCATCACTGCAGACGCTGAACCAATCCGCCTGCCGATCTCCCGATCCCTCCTACCCTCACTCGTGAACAAGACCCCGAGATACTTAAACTCCTCCACTTGAGGTAGGGCCTCTCCCCCGACCCGGAGTTGGCAAGCCACCCTTTTCCGGTCGAGAACCATGGTCTCAGATTTGGAGGTGCTGATCCTCATCCCAGCCGCGAACCTACCCAGCAAGAGCTGAAGGTCAGAGCTGGATGAAGCTAGGAGGACCACATCATCAGCAAAAAGCAGAGACAAGATTCTCCTGCCACCAAACTAGACATACTCCACACCACGGCTGCGCCTAGAAATTCTGTCCATAAAGGTAATGAACAGAACCGGTGACAAAGGGCAGCCCTGGCGGAGTCCAACCCTCACCGGGAACGGGTCCAACTTACTACCGGCTATGCGGACCAAACTCACGCTCCTCTGGTTAAGGGACTGAATGGCCCTTAACAGAAAGCCACCCAACCAATATTCCTGGAGCGTCCCCCACAGGATGCCCCTGGGGACAAAGTCATAAGCCTTCTCCAAATCCACAAAACACATGTGGATTGGTTGGGCAAACTCTCATGCCCCCTCCATCACCCTTGCAAGGGTATAGAGCTGGTCCACAGTTCCACGGCCAGGAAGAAAACTTGCTCCTCCTCAATCTGAGATTCAACTAGCGATCGGACCCTCCTCTCCAGTACCTTGGAGTAGACCTTTCCAGGGAGGCTGAGGAGTGTGATCCCCCTATAGTTGGAACACACCCTCAGGTCACCCTTCTTAAAGATGGGGACCACCACCCCGGTCTGCCACTCCACAGGAACTGCCCCCAATGACCATGCAATGTTGCAGAGATGTGTCAACCATAACAGCCCTACAACATCCATAGCCTTGAGATACCCAGGACGAACCTCATCCGCCCCCGGGGCTCCGCCGCTGTGTAGTTGTTTGACTACCTCAGCAACTTCTGCCCCCGAGATTGGACAGTCCATCCCCAGGTCTCTGGTTCCTCCTCGGAATGCGCATAGGTGGGATTGAGGAGCTCCTCAAAGTACTCCTTCCACCGTCCGACTATAGCCTCAGTTGACGTCAGCATCTCCCAATCCCCACTGTAAACAGTGTGAGCGAGTTGCTGCCTTCCTCTCCTGAGGTGCCGGACAGTTTGCCAGAACCTCTTTGGAGCCGATCGATAGTCTTTCTCCATGGCCTCACCAAACTCCTCCCACACCCGAGATTTTGCCTCGGCAACTGCCACTGCTGCACCCCGCTTAGCTATCCGGTACCTGTCTGCTGCCTCCGGAGACCCACAGACCAGCCACGCCCTGTAGGCCTCCTTCTTCAGCCTGACGGCTCCCCGAACCTCTGGTGTCCACCAGCGGGTACGGGGGTTGCCACCACAACTGGCACCGGCCACCTTGCGACCACAGCTAGCAACAACCGCCTCAACAATCGCAGAGTGGAAGTCTGGGAACAGTCCCAGTCCATATTAGATCTCACATTCGGCCTGGAGACGAGTCCGCGGGTGGCAACACCCCCCACCCCCACCACTCTCCCAATGGGGAGGGCCAACTGAGGGTTGACGATTCGTAAAAATGCCAGGGCTGAATTTTGGTCCCAGTCCACCCCTGTTGGTGTGTTTAAAGCTTCAAACCTGTCATCAATTTTATTCCACTCCACGTCTGTCTTTACTTAGTAGTTTAAAGACTAAACCCCATGATGTAAGAATTGCTAAATTCATCTGTTTTTTTGTAAAGTATACCAGCTTCTTTAGGGCTCAGGAGAGGCCAGTCAATGCTGCCCTGAGGGCTGTGGTGTTTCCTGATCAGAAGATTATATCCCTGACTTTCAGCCTCTCTGATGTTAACCATTTTTCTGATTTGATCAGGTGGTGGAGGTTTCAACACCTATACAGTGGTGAAAAAAAAGTATTTAGTCAGCCTCCAATTGTGCCAATTTTCCCACTTAAAAAGGTGAGAGAGGCCTATAATTTTCATCATGGGTACACCTCAACTATAGCTAGTTTTACAGGAGCACTCCTCAGCCTAAAACAGCTCTGTACAGCGAGGTTCGAGTCAGCCTGTCTGAGTGTAGTTTTGTTCCCATGCCAGCTCCGTGACAAGGGGGTGCGGCCCTCGTAGGACCGGGGGAAGGAAGGGGGGAGCCACGGCACTCGCAGGGTGGGGGTGGGTGGGGTTGCGTGATTTTTACTCATGACAAAATAACATGAGGTGATCAGTAACTTGTAGGTAACTTGTATGCTTCACAAAAACACAACTCAGCACAAAAATGGTGGTGTTGCTGGACATTTTGCCTAGTTTTATGGATTTTGGTCCTTCTCTGAACCAGGAAATGGATGCAGGCAGTGATATTGAAGGAAGAAAAAAAAAGGGGGGAGGGGGGGGGGGAATGCAGACCTGCAGAGATCTGGGACCACAGTTACAAAGGCTACCATCAGTATGTTTATGTTTATTTATTTGGCAGACACTTTTATCCAAAGCGACTTACAATTAATAACCTATAGGGCATGTTGTGATCTGTGGAGGAAACCGGAGTACCCGGAGGAAACCCACGCATGCATGGGAAGAACACGTAACTCCACGCAGAAGAGCCGCAGCCGAGTTTCGAACCTGCAACACACTATGCCACTAGGGACTCAAATCCTGCAGTGCCTGTGTTCCCCTAGCCAGACCAGCCAGACCCATGCTTTCTTACAGGAAGCATTGGGTCTGGGAACTCTCCCATCCAAATAACCCCACCCCCGGAGAATTCTAACTGAGCCAATCAGCACTGAGTAGCATATGTCACAACGCTGAGTTTGTCATAAACATGGCGTCTGTAGCGGAGTTTTCTGCTGTTCTTTCCTCTGTTCAAAGTGACTTGAATGTATTTAAAACCAGAAGTTGGTAA